GTAATTTTTTTCTTTTACCTGAGACATTATTTCTGATTTGATTGCTTTTACAATCTCATGAAGTTGTTTCTTTACTTCGGTTGCTAACCTTTTAGACATTTCAGGTATGTAACTTCCATTTTCTTCCATGATGGTATCTCCCAGACTTGTTGTGTGGGCTGGAAGTCTGAGATTGCCTTTTTCTTCTTCATCTTGACATTCTCCTGGGTTCCTCCCAACAAGGGAGGCTTCTTATGTTGGCTGCTCCTCCGTGGATGGGATACATGGGGTTATATGGCTGTGTGCCCCTGCATTTGCTCACCAGGAAGTAGCCTTCTGGTGGCAGTGGCTGGTAGGTGGAGACAGTTCTGCTTTTTCTCTCTGCCCATGCTAGCTGCCCACAGAAAGGAGCCTTCTGGGGGTGGCAGCCAGCAAGCAGATGCAGATTCTCAACTTAATTTTTAATTTTGTTGAGGAATCATCACATGGTTGCAGCTTTTTGTTAATAGATGGGCCATGTTAGCCTGGGTGATTGCTCATCAATTCACCTTTTGAGTTTTCTTTTTCCTTTTTTTAAATTTTATTTTATGGGAAAAAGGTAAAACAAAATTTCATAATAAAATAACTGGCGAATAACAATAATTAACATATTACATGTTTTTATCTTTAAAGTAGTTGCTCAGGGTACAAGACAAGGGCATAACATTTTCTCCACTCTATATTAGCATGAACTTTCCTTTCTAATTAACTAAGAGACACTAATAGCATAACTGAATTGAATTTTTTCCTTTTCCCCACTGTCCTGTCCCTTTTCACTAATCTTAGTTCCTTTTTCCTTTTGAACAATTTCTTTCCACTTCACAATATCTTTTGTACATTTTATATATTATTTACTCTTTCAGTTTCTCATACCAAGAGACAAAAAAATGTTTACTCATGTGGGTATGACTTATTTCACTTATGATTATGGTCTCATGTTGCAATTTTTACCTCTAAAAGCCTCAATTGTATCCTTCTTTATAGCTGAGTCATATTTATTGTATAAAAGTACCATATCTCTTTTATCATAGGTTGATAGGCACTTGATTTGTTTCCAGGATTTAGCTATTACAAATTGTGCTTCTATAAACATGGGTGCACATGTATTTCTGTGGTATGATGTTTTTAATTCTCTTGAGAAGATACTCAGAAGGGGGATAGCTGGGTCAAATGGGACCTCTAATCCTAGATTTTTGAGGAATCTTCACACTGATTTCCACAATGGTTGCACCAGTCTACACTCCCACCAACTGTGAAGAAGGGTTCCTTTTTCCCCACAGCCCTGCCAGCATTTGTTATTCGTTGATTTCTTGGTGATAAACATTCTTTCTGCGGTGAGATGAAATCCAAGTGTTGCTTTAATTTATATCTCTTGAATGACCAATGATGTTGAACATTTTTTCATATATTTATTGGCCATTTATATTTCTTCATCTGAAAAGTATATATTCACCTAAGATGCCCATTTTTGGATTGGGGTGTTCTAATTTTTTTTTTTAATTCTTTATATGTCCATCTGAAGCACCATTAGCTAAAATTTTTCCCACTCTGTGAGTTGTCTTTTCACTATGTTGGTAATTTCCTTTGCAGTGCAAAATCTTTTTTTTTTTTTTAATAAGATGAGATCCCAGTTGTTGATTCTTCCCATGTAGTCTGGGTTTTGTTCATGACATCTGTGCCTACACCTATATCTTAGAGATTTCTACCTACTTGCTCTTCCAGCCAATGAAGCGTTTCTGTTTTAATATTTAGATCTTTGATCTATTTTGTCTTTAGTTTAATGCATGGTGATAGACATGTGTCTAATTTTAATCTTCAGCATGTAGAGAACCAGTTTTTCCAGCACCATTTATTAAAGAGGCTGCCTTTTCTCCAGTGAACATGTCCCCTTTTGAGTTTGCTCTCAGTCTTCTATGGCTCTAGATTCTTGTTTCTTCTGAAATACCCCACAGCACGGATGAAGATTATGTCTTCTCACAAGCACAATTCCGAGTCCTGCCTCTCCCAAGCTTCTCAGTAAACGGTTGCACTGTCCTTTGTCCTAGCTCCTGACCTCCAGCAACAAGAGGCTCTTTCATATTTTATCAGCAATTAATTGCAATCACTGCTGCTCTGTGATCTGACAAAGGCCTTCGTCTTCACGGTGTAGTCATTGTTTCCTGCTCTTTGGTGGGGCTCAGTGATCGCTTTCCTGCCCTACAGAGATGCTAGCTCAGATGAATTTCCCAGCTGGTGACTGAGTGAGGTGGCGGCTGAAGCACGTGAGTTAAATTTTGACATTTAAGAGGACATGAATTATCTTTGAACAATGTCTCCTCCTGCCTCTGACCTACTGTGGGCAACTGAGAACATGCTTTGCCTGCATAATGACATCTCAGTAATGGAAAGAAAGGATGATTATTCAGCAGCATTGGCACCAAGGGGAAAATTTTGAAAGCATCAGGCCTTGGCCTGTTGTCACTGTATTCTGCCTCATTGAGGGCCCAAGATGCCACTTGTGGGTGATGATGATATTGATAATAAAAGCTGGGCATGAGGTTGATAGGTGGTAGCCTCATTCTCTTTAGCTAAAGATGACTTGTACTTTAATTGTCAGACACAATGGTCTGTTCACCCTGAAGGTACAGATAAAAATATTGAAAAATCAGATGAAACAAGTTTGTATGGTTAAGTCACTGCAAATAATTGTCCTGTGAGAAGGAAGCTGTCAGCATGTTTGAGAAACTAATTGACTGTTCTGGCAAGAAATGAGAGCAATGATCCTAGACTTCTGGTATTCTCAGAGTCTGCTTGAGCATTTTCTATACTGTTCACCTTGTCTGCATTCACCAAATGTAAACTGTGTCTTTATGAGTTACATTTCTCTGTTGTTTACACATAGCATGGATTACAATTCCTAGCATATGGTAGAAAGTAAATTTGCCTTCACTATTGCTATGTTATTATATAATTATACACATAAAAGTATGGTTATTGCCTTTGCAGTTTGTCATTGTTAAGTATGGCTATGGTTAAGGGAGCCTGGACCAAGTTCCAGTTACTAGTCTGTCTACACTATACATTAGCACATTTAGTTTTTACCATAAACTTTAAGATTGGCATATTATGTCTCTTTCGAGACTGTGAGAGGGGGATGTTAAGTTTGCTTGAAGGCAAGAGTCAAAGACACAATTTAAGCCCCTTGTTTTGTGGCCTTGTCACTATGCCTTGTGGAGTTGGGCACTGCTTGACTGCTGATGAGAGTTAACCTTGGTCCAAGATGGTTCACCTTGGGTAAATGCAGCTTCTGAACAGCTGGGGCTAGCCTCAGATCTCTCCTGACTCAGAAGCTTGATGACACTATCCCAAGAAACATGTAAATGTAGCCAAGTGTAAACAAAGAGAATATATGTTCTGCTGTGATGTTCTTCAGTTATTTCTGGGATTTTGACTGTTCCTCCTGGGTTTAGATTTTGTCTGAGCCAATATTTTCCCATTGGGTTGGAATGTGTGACACATATATCGGCTAACATCCTGCTGAATCTTGGTTATCTACGTGCTTGCAAAGGACTAAATATTCAAGCTGTGCCCATCCCCCAGAGCCATGGTAAAACTCAACAGGTAATTGCAACTCTGCTTTGTTTGCCTTTCTCAAAAACAGCCTAGAAAGAAGTTGAGAGAAAGAAATATTAGGAGAGAGGGTAAGGAGATGAGAATCACCTAGCTGTGAGGCTAGTGGAAAAGATCGGTCACTATATAACCGTATTTCATCTGCTGGAAAATTTTCATAATCTAATTTTGTTTAAAAAATATCTAATACATATTTCCTTTTCACATTACTTTTCACGGCTCTTGCTAACCAACTGGAGTTATATATAGGATAAAAACTACCTCTGATCGCTGATTTGGATATATATTTTTTTTGTTTCTAATAGATCTTTCTTACTGTTTGCAAAACAAAACACCAGGGAAAGGTGTGTTTTTGTTTTGGGTGAAGCTGTAGAGACTTTCCTTGGGGCTAATCTTTAGTTGTTGAGCCACTCTCTCACCAACCAGTGAGTAATATAGTGGATAGCAGATAGGATAGAAGATATACAGTTAGCTTTATGTACTGTTCTTTGAAATAAAAATACAAGGGCTGTTGCTAGGTTTACATGGTTATTAGTCTTACTTGGGTAAATGAAAAATGGTATATTCCATTTTAAAACCCAGAAATAACACTTTTCGAATTTTCTGTAAGTGAAATAAAGGGAACTCAAATATCTCCAAAAGTAGACTCAATATGTGAGAGAGACACATACTTTGGGGGGCAAATGTACAAAGATGGGTGGAAAAATACGATGTGTGTTAAATAAGGTAATTATTATGGTAAGACAGAATGCCACTAATCTCTCTCAGATACATGTATCTCTTCATTCTTGTCACTTTCTAGAGCAGTTCTAGAAATCCTCTTCCATAAATGTTTTTATGAGGTATGATAAAAAATGTAGTGAATGCTGCTGCTAAGTGTCACCCAACAGGAAGGCAGGCTTGTAAAAATATTAGAGTATGTCCCTGTTACCTTAGTTATTAGATCTGGCCCGATATGGCTTTTGGCTCTTCCCCAAAGCCAAAATGACTAAGAAAGGTAAATATTTTGAACTGATTTAGGTCTCTGAGGTACCCTGACAACACAATTAAAAACACTCACAAAAGAAAACCTCCAAGACTGCTTCAGAAAGTGGCACGAATGATGGGACAAGGGTAGTTGAAGGGAGAGGGAATATTTTGAAGGAGATTAATGACAATGCCATTTTTACTGTAATAAATTTTTAAAATTAAACAGTCACTATACACAGTGAAATGATTTGAGCTATTTATTCCAAGATATTTGTGATAGATTGACTTTAAAAATTTCTCTAATTTTCTATCCTTGTCTATGTCTGTGCTATTGACAATGTGAATTTGGAGGTCATTCCTTTAGGAGAAGTGACATCTATTTCCTTTTTTTTGACTATAATAAGGCTTGTGATGTGATTTAGTGAGGAGAATGGAGAAGAGATGCCATGCCCATCCTGAATGTACATCTCAAAATCTTCTGTGCTTCATTTGGTCTCTTTGCCACTACTATGGGAATGAGTCTGGATTATAATTTTGTAAAATATGGAACAAAAAGGAACCATCTCAGCTGACAGAATCCTCGATAAGCCACTTCCCAGCCAATTCAACAGCTACCTGCGAAGACAGGTGAACCTCATTGAAACCATTTGAGCTTGGCATGGTTTAGTAAAAGCTCCCAGGTGACCCAGATACTCCTCAGCAACAGTAAATTTTTGTGTCTTATTTAAGCATCTACATTGTGGCTTGGTGCATTACACACCAAATGCTAATGGATATACATTCTGATTCCAGGGATCATTTCATGGGTAATTTACACAGCTCATAGAGAGCTGTGAGCACTGGGTTTGGCATTTACTAGGTCTGTAGTAAATAGTGCCTCTTGTCTCCTCCCCTTTCTCTAAAAAGATGTGCTCCCAGACTGGAGTTTTCAGGTTCCAGCTAGAAACAAAATGGCATTTCAAAAACCACATAACATAGACACACATGACAGAGGGACTCACGTGCATGTGCAGAAATAGCAGTTAGTTTCTCCAGAGGGCAGACAGAACAGTGTTGTTTCTTTTTTGCCTTCTCAAACAACATCTCTTGGTGTTATTTCCTTCCTAGGATGGAAGGGAAAAGAGCTTGCAAGAATTTTGAAGCACATTCCTCAACTGCTGTGAAGTCAATGCTACCAATTCTGGCGTATATCTAATACTTGTCAAAAAACAGGGATAGCACTGTCGTGAGTATTCACATAGAGGTCTGTGTGAACTTGTACAAGTCATCAGCTCTCTCTGGGTCTCAGTTTCCTAATCTCTAAGTTGAAATAGTTGGTTTATGCACCATGAATCTAAGTTCCAACTGTCTATGACTCTTTCGGCAGCGTCAATATAAAATCTGGAACATGAACTCTACAACTCAATGGTTCCCTCTGAAATCTGGTCCTGACAGTGTCTAGCTACATTCCTTGGGCATAACAATTATTCTGTCGGGGCCTCAGTTTCCTTACCTAAAAATGGTGCTGCCTCATGGCATGGTCCCGAGTATTATATGATAAACACCACGTATACTCCTTAGAACAGTGCCTGGCACACAGAAAGTACTGCATGAATGTTCACTATTATTTCAGTTGGCACAGAATCACGTCTTATGCAACTGCACTTTCATGAGATTTAAATGATGAAAGTTCACACAGTGAACATCAACTCTGTGGGTGAATCTGCAATACGTTTTGAAATTCACACACACACACACACACACACACACACACACACAGAGTATTAACCATCCCCAAGCTCCTCTCTCCATAATCTAAAGGAGGTTTTTTTCCCTCACCTACTTGGGTGTGGCATTTTATAAAAATGAAATTTATCACTTTAGCTCACCATATTTTTTCCTCTGTGGCTCTCACCCTTCAGCAACAAGCAAGAAGTGATTATAATGTAGTGTGAAGAAAATGGAGTCCTAACCCTGGCCTGGCTGCTTAACAGCTTAGTTAGCTCTTTAACCCAAACTTCCATTTTTACATAGGTAATGTATGACTAATAACAGTTCTTATCTCCTATGGTTACTGTGTAAGCATGTTGGATTTAGAGAAGTGCCTAGCACACAGTGGGCTCTTACCAAATATTATAACTTAACTTGTTATTATATCTTGATGTACTAGAATTGCTCCAAAGTGATCCCCAGGGGCTAAATACTACCCTTGGAAATATCTTTCAGGACGAATTAGGATGATAAATGTAGAGATGCTATTGCTGACCCTCCCAGATCCCCTTTATTAGGCAAATGTTCCTGATCCCAGCACTACAGTACAAGTTTGGCTGTTAATGGCTTACAGCTGCTTCTTTCTTTGGACAGTCACCCTTGGCCAAACGGGAGTTGCCAAGCCTAGAATTGCCTAGGAAGTGAAGCAACTCCCTGGCCCTTGCTGATGGCTCACAGCCAATGACTGACTGATGTAGGGGTACAAAAGGACCCTTTGCCTCCAAAGGGAGGGAAGCAACTCTGTGGTACAATCCATGCTCCAGAGCTCGCTATGGGATCAAACTGAGGTGTGACTCCAACTGAAGCTGCACCCTCACCCTCATAGCCCTTCGCTCTTTTTTTCTTGCATCAACAAATTACTGCCAAGAGAATCCCCATGTTGAGCCATGCTTCTAGACTCTGACTTAAGCTGGCACAAAAGGAGTAAATGAACCAACTGCAATTCTACAGAATTGAGAGTTGAGACATTACAGTTGGACTTTCCAGCAGGGCAAACACCATAAGTAGGTATAGTTTTAATTCTATTCCAGCCTTTGTTTGGAAGAAGATGCTGGAGACCCTGAGTAGAAGTTGGACCTTAGGCACCAATAATAGTTGGCACTGTGTTATTTGGATTTGCATGCCAGTTCATATTTTGGTTTGGGTTTGTGGTAAAACATAAGTTCTATTCATAGATTCATTAAAGTATGAGCATGACAATGTTAATACCAGCTAGACCTAGAGTTTTCCAGCACCCAGGATGTTCTCTATCTCCAACTCTACACCCTGCAACTTTTCACTATGTGGAAACCTGCTTTTATATTGTGGCAGTTGCCTTTCCTGCACACCCATTAAAAATTGCATGTAAGATGTTGGTGATGAATTAAAATGCTAAATATGAGTTTAGCATATTTACAGTGAAATCATGGACACATAATTAAGAATACATAAACTTTTAAGATAAACACAAGGTTTCAAAGAGAAAAATACAATTATGGTGGGCCATTATAAGTTTATGCATTAGCTCTGGTGTTTTACAATGTTTTCTTGTGCTCAAAGAACAATTTTTCTGATAGGATCTTCAAAATATTTCTAAGTATGACTTCTACCACTCCAGAAGCTAACACAGGCATAGTTTCAAAAATAACCATACCACAGGAAGGAGAAAAAGATGGGAGCACTTCTAGTGTCATTTGTATTCTACTGGGAAGTCCAATGATATTCCAAGTAGGTCACTAGCTCCTGATCCAGCTAGAAATAATTTTCTGCACTTTCTGAAACAGTGAAGAATTTACTTCCTGGGACACACTTTTCACTTGAAATATCCATGAGGGGAAAAACTCCAGTTGACTCCATTGATGGTACAGCAGAAAAATTGTTTCTCAGAAGTGACTTAGATGGATGACCGGTAACTGACTGGTGTCATTCATGACTCTGGCCAAGATATGAGAGTTTCATTGCTTCATGACAAAATTGCAGGCTATCTACTCCTAAGGACTTTTCAGGCTTAAATGAGCCTGAAAGAATCTTTCCTTCTTATGATCCTAAATCACTATTATATAGTTGTTAGTCTAGAACTGGCTATGTTGGTCTGAGCTGGACCCAGAAATTGTCCCATGCAGTGGGACAGGACCTGTTTCCTCAAGTAGGACAGTGAGGACACTTTTGCACAGCAGGTGTGGGAGCCCTTGGTTGTATAGATTGTGCTGCCTCAGAGGAGCCAAGTAGAAAATTTCCACTTTGGTCTAAGATTGCAGCCTAGCCCTCAGATAGGATGACTTTGATTCTGATATGATGACTTCCAAGGAAAGAACTATACAACAAACAGAGGAAGAGGAACTTGGAGTTGGCTTTGAAGCACACTGTTGATTGGCCTTTGTGACAAAATGAAAATGTACAATTAGAGATGAACTTGTATAAAATCTAGACAAGATTATGACAACTTCACCTGTAAGGAAGGACCTTGGAATGATGAGGATAAGAAGCCCTATTGCTTGACCTGAAAAATCTTTGTTTCCACCAGTTTATTGCCCTGTCCTTGGAGAGAGTATGTTTACTGCTCGACATACAACCTCCTTTTATAGGAAATTGGGGACAGGCAGGCAAAGTGTACTCACTCTCTCAGGCCTTTGGGCAAGGTGTCTTCAGCTTATACAGTAGACTTTTGATCATGATTTCACTGTAGCTAGTGGGAGCAGATCTCATGTTTCCTTCCTGCCTTTTCCTTTCAAGAATACATTTCAGTGAATGGTATAGAGATACCAAATAATTATTTGCCACTGACAATAATGAGGGAACCCTGATGACAGCAGTATGTTGGTCCTAGCCCTGATGCTTCTGGGGATGACACCCATATAGTCCTCCTGTGCCCACAGAGGACCTTGCACCACTGCCTAAAGCCCTGGTCAGGATCCATCTCACACACACTGCTCACCTGGGCTCCATGCTGTTGTTGTCTTGCTGAGCTCCTCATTTCCAAGAGAAGGAATTGCTCTCCTAATGAGAGTGCAGACAGAAGAGGGTATTAAGCAGATAAATAAAAACCACCCAGCAAGAGGACTTGAATAGTGTGCAGGGGAGGGCAGGGAAAAGGAGGAAAGGAAAACTGTCTCCAAACACTACTGAATCAGTTCTATAGCTTTCGACTAATCTGCGTGTGTGGATTTGTATCATCACTCATGTCTAACATCCAAGACGAGAGCCAGACAGAAATGCCTGGGCTTCATAAATCCCAGAGAGAGCTTTGTTTATCAAGATCTAGTGTTGTTTGAAAAACTCAGCACTTGTCAAAGCCTTGTAGGTCTCTGGCCACCACACTTTGGGCTTCTGTTTTTTTGATGCTGGCAAATGGGATTTAGAGAAACATTCAGAGGGAAAAACCAAGGTCATCTCTCTTCTTTGGCTCTACCTCTGCCACAGACTGGTGCCTTCATCTCTTGCTTGGATCATTTAGAGCCAAATTAGGCCATACACTTTTTCTATTTCAGTATCTTTTGCATAGATTTTGTGTTTTTAAAGCTCCCCAGGGAGTCTTTAGCTCCTTTCTTACCTATTTATCTTTTAAGGAACAGACAAAGTTGTATCAGCTCTTTCTAAGACCTTCTCTCTGATTCCACAGAACAGAATTATTGCTTCTTTAGGATCCCCATGTGTGAGGTCCTTGAAATGAGGTGTCACCCCCAGTGTAGTGTTGCTCTTTGTGCATAACGGTGGTGGATATCCACCTTTCTGAACGAATGTCTAACTTCCTCTTAGAACTCCAGATAGAATCTAAAACCAAGGAGGTCCATGTGGTAACAAAGGCTTCCTGTGTTGAACATAGGAGTGTTTATTAGGCAATGCAAAGGTTACTTCATGGGGAAATATGTTGGCCTATTTCCCAAGTATAGCTCATATTTAATGCACAGTATCAGCACCAAGGTGCTGAACTCTATAGGCTGAACTCATCTTAATATATGCATAAGTTGGGCAAAATATTATTGCCATCTGCAAAGGAAACTGCAGGGTTTGGAGTCCTGTTTTAAATCTATAGCATTTATTTAGCATCAAGAGCATTTCAGATATAGTGTTACTCTTATTTTAAAGGTAAGAAGCTATACAAAACAGTAGGAGGAGACAGGAAGCAGTATTTGCTTTTTACAGGGAAAATTTTGGACTAGACAAAATTTTCTTTCATCATGCTCATTCCATGGTTCCTTCTCACCTGCCCATGCTTTCCCAAGGTTCTAATTTCCCAAATTTCAGTTAGTTCCAGCTTTATAGAATTTTTTCAACCACAAAGCTTTGTTCTTTGACTTCTCTATCTTATTCTTTAGCCAGGTGATAGGAAAGAAAAAAGCTTGCTTTAAGGGAAGGACTTGTCCTTTATGGAACTTTATGTCCCTTTGTTTTTGCATTTACATAGTAAGACCTTTTGAATAGTGAACAATTTCGTATTAAAGCGAAGATTGTTTCTCAGCCTCTGATCTTCACTGTTTTTGCTCTTTAGTTGGAATG